TAGAATATTTTAGGTAAAGGTAAAGAATATTTTCTTATTTTTATCCTTATATTTTTAAAGACAATTTATTAGCTAGGATTGACCTGTAGAACAATTAAGATAGAGTGGTAAAATCTTCCCGACAAATGTTTATTACGAATGTTCGATTTTTGAGTATATCTTCCACATAAAGAACCATAGGTATTTTGTTGGTCCTTTAGAACCAACAGAACTATTTATTAGCTCTATGAAGAGGATGTAATTTGGAATTTAGAGTTTTTTCTTTGCAAAAAACATGTTCATTATAAGTACATGTTTCTACATAGACCCATACAAAGGTTTTTTAACCTTAGTATCTGCAGTTTGGTATTTTGTTTTCTTGTGACAGCAATTTACCACATGACTGTAGAAATGCTTGATTTGGGGTTTTTGAATGTCTAATTATTATCTTAATGTATTTTTCTTTTTCTAAGCCAATATTTGGTCCTGTATTGACAATAATCGGCAAAGACACAAAATTTTATTTGACAAAACATATCATACCAATATGTTCACGTGCCCACAATTTTCGATAAAAATCTTAGAGTATATTTTCAACATAAAATCTCTTTTTCTGAAATTTATGGAGAAAATGTTGACCAATAGGAATGCCTATTACAATTTTCAAAGCCCCATATTAGAATATAAATATTTTCCAAAAAACCGTGTGCTAGATCGTGTGTAACAAACCGTGAAAAAAACTGTCATACGAAATATATATTCCCCATGCTCAGTATACCATTTAAATTCCACAAAAATAGCAAGTGCCACATAACTAAAGCAATCCTTTAACACGGCCTCTCAAACCACCTCAACTTGAGCCTTAATAGTACTACAGCACTACATACATGTGTGTGCTGGCTTCTCTGGCACAAACACACTCATCCTCGCATACACACACCCAACCATTTGACAAATTGCCTACGAAACGTTTTTGTCATTACTTTAGTACTTGATGTCACTTCCATTACCACGCACATAAAACCCCTTGGCCCCATGCATATAACGACGAACCAAAAACAGAAAGGCGCACACAAGAAGAAAAAAAGAAAAATACAGCAACAACCTCACACCAAACTTCGATGTCTGAAAAATGAGTGAGTACGTATGAGTGTTTGTGTGTTTCTGTGGGTGTACCATATATATGGCAAAAAGGACGCAGGACCATATTTGCATATTTTATCCCTTTTTCCCTTCATCGACTAGAAGATGAGAAGTTATTGAGTCGATATTTTAAAGGAAATTGTAAAATTGTTATGGAAGAAGATTTTTACTAAAAGCTGGGGTTTCCTTTATGGCCTGCGTTATTCCTTTTTTTTGCCTTTTCGTTTTTGTCATTGAGGGCCTCCCAAAAAAAGGACAAAAATGGATTGTCATTTTTTGCTTCGTTTTACCGGTAAAAAGGAAATATAAATTGTACTCCTTTATATCATGTTAGAAATTTATATGGTGATTTAAGGTTGACATTTCACATTAATGTGATTTATCGATTAATTGTCAGGTAAGATTTTAGGTTCGATTAATTTTCTTTGATGGAAATAAAAAGATGGGTAACGGGGGCGGAAACGACAGAAAATGTTTAGTAAAACAAAATCACGTAACTGGTGATTAATAGGAGGGCGAAAAAGTTTTTAAATTAATTAGTAGAAGAAAACATTTCTGTTAGTAATATGAGCTGGCGAAGGAGATGAGGGTTTATTTATGTTAGAAATGAGCTGTCGAAGGATTTGGATAAGTGGAACAAATAAGAAACGTTGACCGGGACGATATTTTTGATAGACTTCACCATTTGAGAACTTTTCCATGTTTTTTTTGTCCTAGTATATTTAACAAAGATAACCCAGTTTGAAAAACTTCCTGAAACTTCTATGTACTGAAAATTAGGCGAATCATGAAATTGGATAGCTATTTAATAACATGGACATGTACTGAAAAACATGGACCTACCGGGAAAACGTGGTAATATATCAAAGAATATTGACATAAACTTTCAAAGTACCGAAATTGAGGAGAGGATCTTTATATGGAGCTATGTCAACACATAGGCATATTTTTAGAAATATTCTTCAGCCTCTATGAACCTGGCTATATCTTCAGGATTCTTAAAATTTTATAGAAACATTCTTGAATAAATGTAAATTCGAATTAAAATTTAATATTTAAACCAAAAACCAAATGGTGGACCATCACTTAAGTTGAAAATGCGGCATGGAAAACTATTTACAGCAAAATCGATACAGGCTATTCGGTACGCTGGGCTGTTAAAAATATAATTTTAATCAGACACCCGTCCGAAATGCATATGGAAGCTATGGCTGTATCTGTACCAATTTCAACAAAACGCAATAACGTCGGTCAAGTCTCAATTTGATACGTTGTTCACAATTTCTTGTTAATTGGACAAACATTAGAAGTTTGTGCACCATTTAGGTAAAACGGACGAATATATGTATATGTGGGAGCTATATCGAAAATTGAACCGATTTTTCCGAAACTTAGCACACATCATTCTAGACTCAATTTAGTATATAATATAAAGGGACTTTGGTGCACTATATACATAAAATCGGACGAAAATATATATGGGAGCTATATCTAAGTCTGAACCGATTTTCACGAGATTTAACACGTATCGTTCCACACTAATTTCAGTACGCTATGCTACATTTTGTGCAAATGGAAGGATGTGAAAGGACTTTGGTGCACCATTTACATAAAATCGGACGGAAATATATATGGGAGCTATATCAAAATCTGAACCGATTTTCCCGAAACTTACTACTCATAATTCTAGACTCAGTTCATTTCGCTATGCCAAATTTCGTGCAAATCGAAGGATACAAAGTGGCTTTAGTGCACTGTTTACCTGAAATCGGACGAAAATATATATGGGAGCGATATATAAGTCTGAACCGATTTTCACGAGATTTAACACGCATCGTTCCAGACTCAATTTAGTATGCTATGCTAAATTTCGTGCAAATCGAAGGATATATAAGGACTTTCGTGCACAATTTACATAAAATCGGACGAAAATATATATGGAAAATATGTAAATCTGAACCGATTTTTCCCAATTGCAATAGGCTTCGTCCTTGGGCCAAATAAATGAACTGTGCCAAATTTCATCCAATTCAAATCAAAAATTCGACCTGTACTGGGTTTACAATTTAACATGCATTTTATGAATGCAATTCATAAAACTTTATTTTTGGAGAGAGATAGAGTAAAAAAGAAGTATGGAGTTGTGTGTGGTTTTGGTGACGGATCGGTCGCCATACCACAGAAGAAGTAGTTGCAAAGAATTAAATCACAAGATTTCGTTGGCCAATTTCGTGATTTCAAAGTTCTGCATTTTAGGAACGCAATTCATAAAATATAAGTACTGTTTTCTTGTCGGAGAAAGATTGGCAATGTAAAGGGGGTTCCGACACGAGGTGGACTGTGAACGTAGGCCACACGAGAAGAAGTTGCAACGAATTAAATCATAAGTGTTCGTTGGGCAACTGTTATCACTAATTCGTGAACCCGGAAACTCTTAGTGTAAAATATCAATGGGTTCGTGGCATATGTGGGACGGAGCCCTGTATTGTTGAAAGTAAACATTGTCAATATAAAATCCGTTGGGATCCGATCACAAACATTAATTAAAAATATATAGATAGGGCAAGCCATCCAACATTAAACTGGTCATTCAACATTATTTTCGAAAATGTAAGATCCAATGACCCCGTTGGGTTATAAACCACAGTCATACGTTGAGGATGGGGCGGCTCCTTATCAATAGCTCTTGGAAAGTCTTTCATTTTTTATTAAATTTGTCAGATTTTAATTATGTTTTTGTTATTAAGATGTAATACCTTCATTGTAAAATTTGTTAATTCAATACTTCAATAGTTCTTATAGTGGAAATTGAATATTGCATTAATTTTACCTACTACCTTGGAAATTCGGAATCTGTATGGATCGATATATTCTTTAATATGTCGATAATTGTTCTGATTTAGAATATATTTATCAAATTGCACAAATATTCTAAGATATACTACCAGCAACTTAAAAATTTGAATTTATCAAAATATTGCCCTATGATAACCAATAATGAACATTTTCATAGCTCAAGAAATACTGGACGAATTGGCACATGCTGGAAATTTACCACTTGGAATTTAAAATAAGAAGTGGTTGGCTATTGATTTTGTCTGTTTTGAAAATTTATTTTTTTTTTAATTCAATTTTATATCCTAAAAATACAATATATACCTGAATAATTGTTTAATACATTAATATTTTTATATATCCCTTTAATATGTCTCTACACTTATAAAACCTCATAACAATGTCAACAAATTGTTTGACTTTGACACCATCTTATAACAACTGAAAAGCTGTTCAAAAACAAAACTGTCGTTATAGACAAGATGATACGGTAATCCGTATACGAGACAATGCCACATCAAACTACTGCCACATTTATCCACCATTACTACTAGAAAAGCCGCAGGACAATGTAAGGACATGATGTTGGATTTAACCAATGAAAAGTGTGGCACTTCACAAAGAAGTGGAAAACTCACACACAGAAAAAAATATACAATACTTCACACAATCGAATATGTGTAGAGTAGTAAGCAAGCAATGCAATGATGCAGCCATGACAATCTACAATATCCGGAAAGTTCTTACATTCCAACTTAGTTACACACGTATGCCGACACAAACATAGTATAACACCTTGGATTCATAATCCGCATTTTGATTTGTCTATAAAACCCCATTGGATATACAATTTGCCCCCCAAAAATCCACACCTATTCGCATACACACACACAAACACACCAAAACCAACCATTTGTGGTCTAGCACGGCCAAAACTTCTAGTTATGTGTACATGTGTGTGCGGTGGTTTACGACAAATACCAGAATTTGCTGCTAACAAGGGGGGCACAGAAGTAGAGTAACTATAAGAACTTAATACTAACCTGTAAGACGGCAAAAATGACAGCAAATACAGTAACAATGAGAAGACAGGCAGCAACCGCAATTGCTGTGATAGTTGTTAAAGGTGAACCGACACGTGAGAATAAACCACTAACACCTGTTGTTCCATCCGAATCATCTAACAGGTTACCGTAGAGACCACCACTGTTGCCATAAGAACTACCAAATTGTTGTTGTTCAGCAGCAGCGGCAATGCGACGTTTGCCAGCGGGTGAGGCATTGATGCAACCACCTATGGAAAGAAATATTTGAAAAGTTAAATGTAAATGATTTAATTTGTAAATTCGAGGGATTCAAATTTATAATAGGAGGAAGAATGAAATTATGTTATTAACAAATTCATTTAATTCTTTAAAAAAAACTTTGCAGTTAATTGGTTTGTTTCCGAACGAAAATTGGGTAAAACCTTTACAATTTATGAAGGGAAATACGAAAATTAATAAATAAAGGGCTAAACAGAATACTCGCGTTGAGCCTTCCGTCGCGTTTTATGTTATCGAAAATACAACAACCACGAGGAAACGGTATGCGTTTGTGTTATCGTTTCCTTGTGGTTGTTGTATTTTCGATAACATATAACACAACGGATGGCTCAGCGCGAGCATTCTGCTTAGCCCTTTATAGCAGATTTTTGCAGATTTTGGAACAGATTCAACGTAGCTCGAATTTCCAATAATCGATTTTTTTGCATTGAAAAATCGAAAATCGATTTTCGATTAATTGAAATTTTGTATTGAAACAAGAAATTGCAAAGTCGACTTTTAGTGAATGATTTAAAAATTTCTTTATAAATATTTGATTTATTATTACAAGAAGAGATTGACTAAAAAATATGTTATACATTTGAAAATTTGTTGGGAACAAAAACCGAAAAGTTCTGAAGTCGTTGCATATATTCTTCATTTGTCAGTAATAACTTCATATAACATTTTTTTGCATATCATAGTTTAAGTCTTTAAAATAAATGCGGAATAGTCACACCCATACACCTCCTCTGTTTCCATACATACCTGTATCTTTGTCACAATGACAGCAGGACTGATCTTCCGGCGATGCATCGTTGGCACAACACGGTACACACTGATTGTTCAAACGATCCAAATGTAATGGGAAGGCACATGTCTGACACGAATATTGACCGGGACCTGTACATGACCGACACGATTCATGACACGTTTTACACGTTTGTGTTGGTGAATCATAGTATTGTGAGCCCAAACATTCCATACAGAGGCCACCGTCCAACATAAAGTGAGCCGGGCATGAGGTGCAGGCTAATGGTCCAGCCCCTATTGAAAAAGAAGAGAGAAAAATTAAAAATAAATTAAAGTTGGAACTAAAAAATGGAAATATATTTTTGAAGAAATTCGGAGAAAAAAATTTTATCTATCCACGTTTATATTTACAGTCATGGCCTATTAATGTCTACCGGGTGGCGAATTCATGCCTTAGTCTTTTCTTACTGTCAAATACTAACCACAACGTATATTTGGGTTCATGGCCTATTAAATAAGGTCTACCGGGTGGCGAATTCATGCCTTACTCTTCTCTTAGTGTCATGTTTTTAATCGTGAAATACTAAATAGAACTGGATTAAAACTCAAAATATTTTTGAAAAAACGTAATGATAGTAATTTGCATATATATTTTGGTTCGAATAAAGACAATTTTTGTTCATTTATTCTTCAAACAATAAATTTGACAGTCAATGAAGACTTCGAATTCGCCTCCCTGTTAACCGTAGGAATAAACTTTGTTTGGATTTGAACAAGGTTTATTCATAAGGTTAACAGGGAAGCGAATTCATGCCTCAGTCTTCTCTTGCTGTCGGTTCAATTTATCCTGTTTCGTCTTTTTAATATTATTTAAGGAGGTTTTGACCGTATCAAGCGAGTTCAAATATATAATGCAAGTTTGGATTCATATCAGTACATTCTCCTAAGCATGACTGCAATATTGTAAAATGCTCTTGTTGGGGTGTTTAAGGTCAAAAAATAACACAATCGGAATATTTAGTAGGATGAAGTATTTAAGCATTGTATTTCACGATAAATTTGAATTATAATATTCGGATTTCTGAATTTTATGAACCCAATTCATGAAATATAAGTACAGGGTTCTTATGTGCTAGAGAGATAGAGAGAGAGGGAGAGAGGCAAGGGTAATGTAAAGTATTTTCCAATACGAAAAGTATTAGGGCATCGCATTTCACGATATATTTTATAATGTACGGATTCCAGAATTTTATGAATGCAATTCATAAAAATATAAGTACTGGTTTATTCTCTGTGAGAGAGAGGAAATGACAATGTACAGTGTTTTCCAATACGAGAAGGGCAGTGGATTTAAATCTCACTGGTCATTTGGCCACTGGTCACGTGATCAACAGTTCAAGAGATAACACGGTCCTGAATATTTTGCTAGTAGAGCAATGGGTTTTTTGCTTATGTGACAGTAGAGTCGTATTGTTGAAAGTTTTCGCTGTAAATTTCTGTACCATCCAATTCCGACCATAACAAATCATTAAGCATCTTTAGTTGGCGCAATCTATACACCGTAACTGTTGATTAGCTTCACATTTCCAAAATGTAATGACGGCCTATAAAATTCACCAAACACTCACTCTTCAAGGCTTCTCCAAAATTACACTCTTAGAGTTTCCGATCGCCGGATGCGACTATTCAACGTAGCCAAATATGTAGCTAGCCAGTATGCTTTTTCGATGGAAATTACCATAATTTCGTAGCGGAAACTTGAATTGGGTTTCGCAACCCTGACCCGGCAATTCGACGTACCCAAGGGACCTCATTAGACAAGATGATTTTTCAATGAAATTCTGATCCAGAAAACGATCTAGTTGATGATCGATCGTTTTAAGTTAATGCAATAACTGAACACTTTAAATCTTAAGGGTCAATTTTTTTATGAAAAATTACGCCATCTCTAGATAGTGAATATATTACCATAACTATTGATCCAACCTCATTTTTTAGGCCCAATGACCCCGCCGTACCATAAAGCGTATCACACAGTCACACTTTGACCCTACAAGATGCGACTTTTTGACGTAGCCACTCTGGACCTCATTATTTTTCGATGGAAATTCGGATAATTTTCAGTAAGGGTAAAACCTTGTCGGTGAACGGCCTGTTTGAGTTCTTGTGTTAACTGAAGTTTTTAAGCCCCCATTCTCGATTTCAAATTTCGACGATTTTCATCCCGCTGACAAATGAGCAAAGATTATGATAAAGACTTGCATACATGCATTTTAAGTCTTAAGGAAGAAAAAAATACATTTAAAAAATGTTGTTGCTGTTTTTTGTAATTAAAGAAAAGTATTTTTTCGGCAGCGGGCAATTCAAAAAGTATAAATCTGGCTCTGGTATGAACTAGGATCACTCGATTAGCAAAATGGAGGAATTAGGAAAGTTATTTTTTGGAGAATGGACTATTTTCGACCAAAAACCAAGCTAGAAAAAGGAAGATCTTGACCGATTACATTTACCCTAGTTCATACGATAGCTATGTATGTCCAAAATAACGATTTAATATTTGGAACCGATTCATAGTTTTTGAGTTATTGTACACTGTTTCGAAAAAAACACATTATTATTAAGAAGATCTCCCGTTGTCACCTGTCTCTTGAACATTCTATCATATCTTCAAGATCATTAGAAATTTTCACCTGATATTTTAAAGGGACATTCTTGATAAGTTATAGTTTCAAATTAAATTAAGGGGACCCCCCATTCTCGGGGACAATTTTTTTTGATTTAATTCGAATCTACACTAATTCAAGAATGTCAGTAAAAAATTTCAAGTGAAAACCTCAAGAACTCTGGAAGATATCGCCGATTTATTGTGTCAGCATAAAGTGACAGCTAAAGCGCTTCTCAAACTTTAAACGCGTTTTCCTCTTTTGCGAATGGCGGGCACGATAACTCAAAAACTAATAACCCAATCGATTCCAAATTTTTACACGTTTGATGCGTGATTACACGCATTGGTATTGCGTGAAAATTTAAAATCGTGAATGGGTCGTGTTCCCTTAAAATAAAAACATAGATCTTTTGAAACCAAGAAAGATGGCGGGGTCCCCTTAATGCCTACGAGTTTGTGAAAAAAAATCGTTTGAGGAATGCTGCAGCAATAATGCCCTCGGTAGTTCTTTACTATGTGTACGGGTCTTTTCTTCACATCATTTACATTACGCTCTAAATTTTGTCCACCAATTCCTATATTGCGGATCGACCAAAACATTCTATTGTATTGCGAACTCTGACTGCAAGATTTTCACAATTTTGTATTCTTCAATGGGTTGTTGGAGGAGATATTGTTAAATTGTTACCATACTCGTCCATATTGCAGGGGTGTGACCCTACAAAAATAGGTCCTAGACCCTAATTAGAATATAGATTGTCATATGTCGTCTAACAGAATCGATCAAGTCATATGTCTCTGCCTGTTAGTCTTTTTAGTGGTATTAGTGTAGGGTATTTTTTAGTTGGACCCGTGTAATTTGGTAATGGTATAGTTTCTATTTGTCAAATGCCAAAAAATAATACCTTCAATCGTAAGTGATGTGGCATATCTTATAATAGGCTCATTACCAACTTATAATGAACTTTCGTTACGCAGCGCCTGATTAAAAATTTGTTATTTCATTCATACTACACATCCTTCCAGTTACGAAAACCGAACCCCAACTCTATTAGAAAAATATAATCACGTTTCCACAAGCACATATTAGATTGTAAAATGGTTTGATTGCTATAACAACTATATAAGAAACCATAAAACTTTGATATTTAAAAAATATATATAAAATTCCTATTACTATTAAGAATACAACTTCTTTATAGACTTGTAGAAATTTATAACCTTTTTTACACAAATTATTATATAAACATGATTTTATGTCAGTATATAAAAACCTTGTATTTTTATAGTCTACTCTCATCCCCACAAAGTATGCCAAACATTTACTATTTAACATAACCCTAAAAGTATGCATTATATGTTTTCGCTTCACTTGCGAAAAACGATTTACTACAACAAATAACTATAATATATTTAAAAATATATCTTAACAAGCACATAAACAACAAGGCATGTGATGGAGACATTGAACAAATTTTAACCATAAAAAATCTCAGAACTTCCCATTAAATGTCAATTCACACTTTTTTTTTTAAAAAGAAAAAGTTATTGACAGTATTTCACCTCTGGGTGATGAATGCTCGTTATACTCCCACAAATAGAGTGGAGAGTCAAGAAGGTTTACAAATCTGACACCTGCAATTTTTTGTTTGGTTTTATTTTGCAGTACTAAACTGTAATAAATTGCAAGATACCACACACATTGCCACCATATTTTTTGATTCATGTTTTCTCTGTATAGGTAACCATAGCCGACTTTATAACTTACCGTTACAAGTTTTACAATAATGATGACACTTTTGACAACCAAACTCTGACTTGTAGAAACCTTCAGGACATTCAGGATGACATTCACCGCCCGCTAACTGCCAGCCACTGGGACATTGTACGCATTGATCACGACGTGGACCACTGCAGGTATGACAACTGAGATAACACTTGGCACAAGTGCCACGGTCACTGTAATAGCTGTAACGGGAAAAGAAACAAATTGAAAGGGCATGAAAAAAGTTAACAATAGAAGTTCGAAGAAAATAAAACAAAAGTTTGTAATTTTTCGAGAGAAAACAAAACTTCATCCTTTTCCGCCACTACTACTACTACTCTGTGCAGAACAAATTGTAACTCTGTTGAAATACAAATTTGAAAAAAAAGAAAATATGAAATGAATTGTCATATAAAAAATGTTGGCGATAGCATGGCTGTTAAAGTTTTCTCTTCGTTTGTTGTTGCGCCACCCTTCTTTCACATTGTTTTTCCAGACCCCAATAAAATAATATGAAATTATGCTAATAAAACGAATAGTGGCCATTAGCCATGGTCAAGTGCTTATGGAATTTAAAGTACTGTCAAATGGAAATATTGAAATTAAAGTTTATTGCCAGTTCAGTGTTGCCGCTTTATGTACTAATTGATCGACTAAATTTGAAATCATAGGAAAAAATAGACACGAGACATGTGAATACCACGCCTATGATAGAAGTTGAAAAAATATTTTTTTAATCCACGCCTATGATAATTGTTGAAAAAATAATTTTTTTAATCCACGCCTGTGATAATTGTTGAAAAAATATTTTTTTTTTAATCCACGCCTACGATGTTCACGAGACATGTGAATACCACGCCTATGATAGTAGTTGAAAAAATATTTTTTTTTAATCCACGCCTACGATGTTCACGAGACATGTGAATACCACGCCTATGATAGTAGTTGAAAAAATATATTATTTTAATCCACGCCTATAGTAATAGTTGAAAAAATATATTTTTTAATCCACGCCTATGATAATAGTTGAAAAAAATATATTTTTTAATCCACGCCTATGATAATAGTTAAAAAAATATTTTTTTTAATCCACGCCTATGATAATAGTTGAAAAAAATATATTTTTTAATCCACGCCTATGATAATAGTAAAAAAAATATTTTTTTTAATCCACGCCTATAGTAATAGTTATATTTTTTTTAATCCACGCCTATAGTAATAGTTATATATTTTTTAATCCACGCCTATGATAGTAGTTAAAAAAAATATTTTTTTTAATCCACGCCTATGATAGTAGTTAAAAAAATATTTTTTAATCCACGCCTACGATAATAATTGAAAAAATATTTTTTAATCCACGCCTACGATAATAATTGAAAAAATATTTTTTAATCCACGCCTACGATAATAATTGAAAAAATATTTTTTAATCCACGCCTACGATAATAATTGAAAAAATATTATTTAAAAAATCCACGCCTTTGATAGTACTAGAAAAAATCTGTTTTTTTAATCCACGCCTATTGATAGACCCTAAACATATTTTTTTTTAATCCACGCCTATGATAATAGTTGAAAAAATATTTTTTTTAATCCACACCTACGATAATTGGTAAAAAAAAATATTTTGTTAATCCACGCCTTTGATAGTACTAGAAAAAATATTTTTTTTAATCCACGCCTACGATAATTGGTAAAAAAATATTTTTTTAATCCACGCCTACGATAATTGGTAAAAAAATATATTTTTTTAATGCACGCCTATGATAATAGTTAAAAAATATATTTTTTTATTAGTTGAAAAAATAGTATTTAAAAAATCCACGCCTTTGATAGTACTTGAAAATATATTTTTTAAAAAATCCACGCCTTTTATTGACCCTTTTTTTTAAAATCAAGCCTATTCTTGAACCTAGAAAATTTGACCCTTGAAAAAAATATTTTTTCCTTGATTGTAAATTACCCTTAAAATCCGACCAATATACTTGATCAAACTACGCCCCAAAACGGCAACACTGTTCTTCCTTTCATAAATCCACATTCATTTTGATGATGTCCAGTGCATTATCCTCAACCAGCCACATCGGGCCAAAGCCATTCATTTCAGAAACAAATTATAATTATGTGTCACACCATTTTTATTGCTTTGCCAATATTGCAATGACAAGGAAACATTTTCATTTTCCAGCAACTGCAACAGCAGTTCATGAACAGTTGTGTTGTGAAACGTACGTATGTATGTCGATTACTACTATTATGTCCTGCCCGGTACACACACAGGATTTCATTTCATTGAAGAGAAAGAAACTTAAAATGCAATTCATATTTTTGTGTATAATTACCCATCAGCACAGGTGGTACGGCATTCGCCACTTTGTAGCTGTAATCCTTTGGCACATGCCGTGCAATTCATTCGTGACACACATTGGGTACAGGTATGCAAACATTTGGCACAAACGCCGGCCTCCATGTAGTAGCCATCATCGCAAGTGCTCACACAGTGATTATTCTGCAACAGTAGACTCTGGGGGCAACTTAAGCAATTCGATTCGGTGGGCCCATCACATGTCTCGCAAGTGCTATGGCATGGATGACAATGGTTGTTATCGTAATATTCAGCTGAAATTATAACAGATAAGAAGAAGAGTGGGAGAGAGAGATGGTGAGTGAGTGAGTCATACAAAAGTCGGTGATATTAACGAAAAGCAAATTAAAGGATATTTCAAAATTTATATGCGAATTTGCATAGTTAGTTAGTGTGAGTGTATGCATGTGTGTGTGTGGGAGTACAAATGTCAATGGATAATTGCTTTGTAACTTAGGTTGGCCTTCTAATCTAAAAGTGAGGGGGACATTTGTTAGGTGGAATAACCACACTCGGATAAAAATATATTTTCAAACATTTTCAAATTTAAATAGTTTTGATTTCCTTTGGGGGAACCCTTTTCCAAGCCTATTCCATTTTTTATATCCTTTACCACATTATGTTTGTAACAGGCAAAAATAATCGAGATAGACCTATGGTTCCTTTTGAATCACTTTCTGAGTCGATTTATGCATGTCTGTCCGTCCGTCCGTCTGTTGATGTTAAATTGTAAACAAAGTACAGGTCGCATTTTTGATTTGAATTGGCCTAAGGACGAACCCTATTGAATTTGGGAAAAATCGCTTCAGGTTTCGATATATAGTTTCGTCCGATTTAAGGTAAATGGTGCACCAAAGTCCCTGAAAATCATTCGATTTGCACGAATTTTGGCATAGCGTTCTTAATTAAGTCTAGAATGACGTGTTCTAATTTTCGTGAACATCTTCTTATTTAGATATAGCTCCCTGCACCAAAGTCCCTAAATATATGTCGATTTGCTTGAAATTTAGCATAGCGTATTGAATTAAGCCTAGGGTGCTAATTTTCGTGAAAATCGGATCTTATATAGATATAGCTCCCATATATATTTTCGTCCGATTTAAGGTAAATGGTGCACTCTATATATCTTTCCATGTGCACGAAATTTGGCACAGCTTATTAATTTAACTCTAGAATGATGTGTGTTAAGTTTTGTGAAAATCGGTTCTTATTTAGACATAGCTCCACACAAATATTTTCGTCCGATTTAAGACAAATGGCAAACCGAAGTCCCTATGTATCTTTCGATTTGCACGAAATTTTGCATAGCTTACTGAATTAAGAGTCGAATGATGTTATGTTTCGTGAAAATCGGTTCAGATTTAGATATATATTTTCGTCTGATTTAATGTAAAAGGTGCACCAATCTCCTATAAATTTTCCGATTGGCTAGAATGATGTGTCTTAACTTTTGGAAACATCTAAAGATGTTGTCTGTTCTATTTCCAGCATATTGTATATATTAGCGCCTGTTGTATGTACCCATAGTGGTGAAGGGTATCATATAGTCGGCCCCGTCCGACTTTTGAACTTTCCTTACTGTTTTTTTAAACAACTCCACACAATTATATCTCAAAATCTCAATTAACTACCTCGAGGGCGTATTTTAATAAATTTTAAAAATATTGTGTTATGGGTGGTTCCGCCCCCAAGTAATAACTACAAAGGGGTTTACAATATTACGGCGAATATTTATAGCCACTTAATGCTCAACGATGTCACTGCAAGCAAAATGCTTTTGCATAAAGAAATAACTTATTTTTCATTTTAAAATGTATTGCTTACTTTGTGGAGATTAAATAGCTTGATTAGACCAACATATGTTTAGGGGCTATGCAGTTAGTCCTAAATGAACTTTTGGAAAAGGTGAAGCAATGACTAATTTTTAATGACAACAATAAAAAACCAAGCCCATTTGTAAAATGTGTTATTTTTTTATTTTAAATGGTATAGCATATTTTTTGGCGTTTTAAAAATCTTAATTTAACGTATAAATATTTAGGGGCTGTACAATTTTTTTCGGTAAACAAATTTTAAATTGCCTGCCTTTTTAAGCGAAAAACAGGTGCAGCCATAAAACAGCTGTTTTGTAGGACCATTTAAATTGTCTTTTTACATTTTATGTACAATGTCTCCACAAAGCAATTTTATGTTCCATATCTCGCCCATTGGCATGTTTTTCGTTTCGTTTGCCACTTCATCATAATAAAAAGTCCATTTACCCGCAGCAAAATGAAAGCACCAGCAAGAAAAAAACTGGTAAACAATCACTCTCCATAAATCACAAAAGGAAACCTCAAACTACAATATCCTGACACCTAGAGGACAAACAAGAAATGTATAGACTTTTGAGTACACCACGCACATTTGTGAACATAACTTGGCTGGCAGTTTTTTTCTCTTTCTGCAGTGGTGGTCAGTAATATGGAAAGCAAGCAAAACAAAACATAACACCCAAGAACAGACAATAAGTCCTTTTAGCTCCCACCCACTCTTTCACACACACACACTCACACAACTTCACTAATAAATGCTTTTCACATGCATGTTCCCAACGCACACCCACACATTTCTGCGTTTGGGTGGCGATGGCAGGATACTCGTATACGAAAAAAATTCAAATTCATACTCACATTCATCGCAATTTTCACTGCCAGTGATAATACATTTGCCTTTTTTATTGCGCGTCCAGTTGTCTTGGCATGTAAGACAAAAACCATTGGTGGTACATGTGGCGCAGCCCGTTGGACAGGCAACACATTCTTGACGTTTTTTATCGGCATAGTAACCATCGGGGCAACTATTCAAACATTTACCATCGTGGGCAAAACGGCCGGAACGACAAGTGATGCATTGTGATTCGGCGGACCCATTGCATGTGGCACAAGATGAATGGCATGGAGCACAGCTGTAAAAAAAGAAAAGAAGAGAGAAAAACGCATGAATGTAGATAAAGCAATAGGTTGAGAATATGTAGCAGAGAGACGTATAGAAAAAAATACAACTTGAAATGGTAAAATGATGGGTGTAGTGTTTTTAAGCCTTTAAGACACTCTTTTTCGTTGAAATGGGCCTGCATATGACAGGTGATAATGAAAGTTTTCAGCGAGCCTAAAAGTAGGTTGCAAAAAAATTTTTTAAGAATGAAATGCTTGAATGTTATCTTTTGTCAGAGGAAATAAAAAATTGTGATGGAAGGATGTTTACATGCCAAATAAGAGATAAAACGAGTTTGGGAGGGATCAACTTTGAACGGTTCCGGCTTATAAGATAGTATATATGGGCGGAACATATAACAATGGAGCTATATAAAATCGTGTACCGATTAGTGTTTTTTTTTTTAATTTAGTTCTGTCCAATGTTTCAGATGTAATGTTGATTAATTCGGGTTTTCAAATAAAATTTACAAATTAATTTAATATTGACCTTTTTGGGAGGAGGTACCAGAGGGCAGACGGGTCCAAACTTCGGACTTAGGCTTCGTAAAGATAATAGGTTGTGCCAGAAGGAGTGAACTAATGGGTTCCATCTTCTAATTGTAAATCGACTCCAAATTTTCTGAAACGGATTTGGTCCAAAGAAGCATGGGGTCCAAAACTAATATTTCAATGAGGCACATTTCCACCGTATCAAAGTGTATATGTCCTCATTAGCCATAAGGCTGAGGGTATAAAAATCCACGAATATGCGTGGAGCTTGAACAAATATTTAAAAATATGACCTAAAAAATATTTTAAAAAATACACGTCTATGTTTAGGGTTTGAAAAATATTTTTAAAAAAATCCATGTCTATGTTTGGAGCTCGAAAACATATTTTTAAATATTTTTTTGAAAATGTGCATTAATTTAGTTATCTGACTTCTTCATGTCCGCCTGAGACCGTACACATGTAGAAATACGCATGGACTCAGACATATCATTTTGTATACCCTTCACTACACTGTGGTACAGGGTATTATGTCTTTGTGCATATGTTTGTAACAGGCAAAAGGAATCGAGATAGATCCATGGTTCCTTTTGAGAATATGCATAGAATCACTTTCTGAGTCGATTTACGCATGTCCATCCGTTCGTCGTATCATTCGATTTGGATGAAATTTGGCACAGTTCACTTATTTGGCCCAAGGACGAACTCTATTGAAATTGGAGAAAATCGGTTCAGATTTAGATATAGCTCCCATATATAGTTTCGTCCGATTTTATGTAAATGATACACCCAACTCCCAATATTTGTCCGATTGGGACAAAGTTTTGCACAGCCCACTGAATCAGGTCCCTGCTTACAGCACACTTGAGAAAAGCTTCAAGAACACACATTCCTACATATCAGCAATTCCACATTTACATCAATTAAAAAACAACATATGCAAAATTAAGTTCCCAATTAAAAATATTTTCTATCCATCATTTTCAATAGCACTACAGATTTCTAATCATTCAATCAATATTTTTTTTTCAAATCATATTTCATCCCTCCAAGGAGATTTGATTAATTATTCATATACATTTATCCTTCAAATTATGATAATCTATAGGCAGCATAGATGCTCACAAAATAATGACGACTGAGAATCAAACACTCATCATTGCTCGCACAATGTTAAAATACTTAAAACATTATAAAATTTCACAAAAAAAAAAATCTCCTTAATAATATTAATAATGTCATGCTGAAGGCCCTCTTTCCCACACAATAACAAAATGTGGGAGATGTAGCGCCATGAATCTTTTGCACTTGTGCGAAAATGAAGTGCTTTCAAAACAATGAATGAAGCTGGGATTTCATTAAATCACATTTGAAACGTGGCACACACATACTCTATATAGACATACATTCATTTTAACAATTTTCAATAGATATGGAATCAGCGCAATAATAGGCTGTAGATTTCCGTGTTGCTGGTGGTGCAGCAACAACAACAGTAACGCCATCACATTAATTTCCTATTCAATTAATGATATACAGTGCCAACCGGCCAGCCAAGCAACCGTATCAGCTACACTTCCCGGTAGTACAAAATGAAAAAATTCGCTGTTGCAAACATAAATTTACTGTGAAAAAAAATCACGCTGATGATGGGGATACCGATGCTACTACCCGGCTGATATTATTGACAATGATGTTGGTTTGTCGTAAATACTTCAAGTGTCAATTGCCAATATATATGTATGGGGTAATATGTACACAAACATATATATGTGTATGTATGCATTTAACCGTTTGAATTTGAAGATATGTTCAAACATTCTCAGTATTTCAAGTATGTTAGGTACAATTATTTTTTATAATGAGATTCACTTGAAAGTGGATTTTGATTGCCATCTCGCACATATGGTTTGAAAAAAATCTAAGGCATGTTTTTTTAGGAAACTCAGACATCGGGGAAAGGGGTTGAGAAGTTGATTTTGTTTTAAATATGCTATATATATATATATATATATATATGAATATAAATAGAATTATGGGAGTGGATTTTTTAAAATATTTTTCAAGGTATTTTCAAGATAGGCCTGGATTTGTTAAAAATATTTTCCCAAGGTCTAATGATAGGCGTGGATTTTTATACTCAAAACAACTATGTTGTCAGGGTATTATAGCTTTGTGCAGCCCCAAGAGTTTGTAACGCCGCGAAATATTGGTCCTAGACCCACCTTTAAGTATACCGATCGTCATATCTTGACTAGTTGAGTCGATGTACACATGTGTGTCCGTCCGTCTGTCCATTATAATTTGTAAACACGATACAGGCCTCAGTTATGTACTAATCTTCACAAAACTTTGCATGTAGGATGGGTTCTGCCCAATTAAGACCCCTATTGGTTTTGGTAAAGATCGGTTAATATTTAGGGGATGAAATGGACCAAATACTTATTTTTTGTCTGATTTTCTGGTTGCTCCAAAGCACTCAATTATGGCCCGAACATAGCGAAATTTTACATGGAGAAGGGGTTCGGGCAAAAGAATAAGAATGCCTGTTTGGATAAATATCGATCAATATTTAGCGATTTAAATTGACCCTGACTTTTATGTGAAAAATTACAAAATTTGTATTCTATGGCGTATATATTTACCCCTGAAGGATAGAGACCAGAGGAGTTGAGAATATATCCCAGAGGAATGGTTGACATTTAAATTGATACCAAATTGATATGAACTCGGATGTAGGAGATACACTTAAATATTTACAGGTGCTTACGTACTCATATATTATTTAGTAACCCATTAACACAAGAGGTCGGAAATATAACGCTGATTGCTCATTTCCATGAGGTTCCAATTATGGTCTAGGACAACGCCTATAATTTTGGGATGAAGTCAAAAACTTAATTTTTAGTAACCCATTAACACAAGAGGTCGGAAATATAGCGTTGATCGCTTTGAAAATTTCCATGAGGTTCCAATTATGAAGTCAAAAACTTAATTTTTTTTGAATCCACAATTATAAGCCGAACATCACAACACAACCCTCGGTGAGAGGAACCTCGACAAGTAAGTTAGAAGTTCTGTACTGAATATTAGTACTATTCGAAAAATATGTCAGTGCAAGGAAGAGGTGCTGTTGACCTCTTATCGGGCAAGAGGGTGCAGCTATCACGAAATATTGCCCAGGCTTGGAATAAACATTCGTGCTAGTTGTGTAGAGTTTCGTATGGTCGGCCCCGTCTGACTATACTGCTCCGCTCACTGGCTTAAAAATATTTTCCAAGGTCTAATCATAGGCGTTGATATTTAAAATTTTTTCTAGCGCTATAATAAGGCATGTATTTAATTAAATAATTTTTCAATGACTATAAAGAGGCATGTGTTTAATTAACCCTTTGAGCCCCGAATTTTTTCCACAATCTTAGAACAAATTTCTGTTCACAGATTTAATGCAACTATCCTAAATAGGATATGCACAACCTATTTTTAGATGAAATTGTATCCCACATCGTTCGTATTACAATTTTCCTCGAGACCATATTGCCTAAAGGTATACCGAGAGTGTTCGTATATTATGTGACACGCCTTAGATGTACAGAAAACTATTACAACAAACACATTATAATTTAATATTATTAAATAAACTGAGTTATATAGTTGTTTATTAATAGACAAACACACACATACACATTTATACACATACGTACATAATACACAAAGGACTAAAATATTTGCTCTTTCATTTCCGTTTCCTCTTGCACAACTCATAAATACAACAAGGACGATAGACAAACACAAATACACATTCTCCAACATGGCTGGCAACATTTCTTTGATGTCTTTGACGCACATGTGTATGCATGTTTATGTGTGCTTTTAGACTAGGTCATGTACGTATGTGAAAAGTAAAAATAGAAAAGAAAAAAACAACAACATAAGTGGGCGAAACCTGACTAAAAAAATTCAATTATGGTGGTAATGGTATTTAGTGAAAACCATTGGCGTTATCAAAGTTAGTTATTGCTGTTTTTGTTCATGTTGTTGTTGTTGATATATTGAAAAAGTTGTCTATTTTCTTGAAGAATATACAAAGTTTTAGTGGTTGTCTATGATAAATAAATATGCAACTTTGTAATTCATTACTGCTGCAAAGAGTTGTGAGGTGTCAAAACAATGTGATTGAAAGGTGGTTTGGTAAATACATAAAATTAATATTTTCTTAGACAATTTACCTAATAACTAACTAAATTTATTGGCAAATACATATTTGATATCAATTAATTTTTCTATTAAAAATCAATAAATAGGCGAGTTATTTATCCTTTTGAAATATGGATACATTGGGGCTTAAATGAAATCTTGAAATAATTTAAGATTATGGTTCTGAAGGGGGTTGATGAAAATTATTTTAAACATCCAAGCTTATGGTTCTGAAGGGGGTTGAAGAAAATTATTTTAAACATCCAAGCTTATGGTTCTGAAG